GCAATCTTTAGCGGGGATTACGTGGCGAGGTTTCCCGGGAATCATTCCCCCAAATCCCTTAAACCGGCAAAGTTTCGGGCGGTCGGTCAACGGGCATAGTGGGGATTTGCCTTCAACTCTTCTCATTACTTTGATTGAGGAAATCTTGGAGCGCGGCGCTTCGCGAGTTTGGAGTGAGAATCAAAATGGATGTTTTTAGAAATGGTTCGATCGAAGCCGCGTAGCGAATTTTGAAGTTTAAACTTTGGTGTTTCATTTAAAAAAAAATTCAACCAAATTGTGTACGCAATTATAAATGTGTAATTATCATCTAATTCAGGAATAGATGCGAGTACAGTTTATTTTCAAAATACGCAGTACGTGGTCGAAGTAGACTCGTAATTTTTCACATAAATATGTACGCAAGTTAGAAGTTATACTTCTTTAGAATAACAAAATAAAAATAACTTACAATTTTACTTATAACCCAAGCAAGTACTCTTTCTTTGTGAATAAATAAATAACTTGGAATTAAAGGTAAACTAGCGACCCACCCCTGCTTTGCACGGGTGCAATGTATTATACACTAGCTGCCCGCGACTACGTCTGCGTAGAATAGGCTGAAGGCGTAACATTCAGAAGGAAAGACAGATATACATAAAATATGTTTATAAATTATAGCCTAAGACTTATGCCTGTCTGTCCCTATGTATGCTTACATAGGGACAGACAGACAGCGGGACGACTTTGGTTTATACTATAAAGTGATGTCAATATATTGTTAAAATTACTGCACATAGTCTTTACAGTAACCTGTTTGTTACCTGAAGGAATTTTGCAATAATATAGTTTTACATTTATACAAATTAGTTTGAATAAAAGTAACTAGAATTCGTTAAAAATGGACCTTTAAAAAATACATTATATATGAACGCTTCATTGTAATTCATTCTAAATTGTATTATAGATATTACAAAGTAAACATTTATAGTTATCATAATTGCTATTGTTGACGTACATATGACAACTGCGCTGGCACATTACTAAAAATTTATAGACATATTGCAATAAAATACATGGTGTAGCAGGCAAGGCAATAGCGGCATTATATACGATACATTCGGGTCAAAAGAGAATTTGATCGCCTGTAAGGCGAGTGTGTACAAATTGTCAACAATGGGGTTACGAGCTGGCAGTTCACCTGATGCTAACCGCCGCCCACGGACATTTGCAACACCGATTGCAGATGTGTTACCACCTTTAAACAAAGTTGGCCACGGCTACCACACTCACCAGACGAAACGCAGAAGTGTACTCACCACGTTAGATAGACGTAATATAATAAGTTCATTTTTTATTAACGAAAGACAATACCGACTACAAATATCTCTCTCTGTATTCATTTTATAATTGATTTTCAGGAGTTCCCTAAATATCTCCGGAGCCTAAGGTGCAATACCAACGAAATTAATATCATCACATGGGAAGCATCAGCCTTCAAATAAAAAAAAAAAGAATCATCAAAGTCGATTCGTCCAGTCGAAAGTTCTGAGGTAACAAACGAAAAAAAAAAATACCATCGAATTGATAAACTCCTCCTCTTTTGAAGTGGGTTGAAAAGACTACTAGAAACCATATGACAACTATCATTTCTTGTACTTGCACGATTAACTCAATTTTATTCATTCAATTTTCAATTAGAATAATAATTTAAGATTTTTTTTTAATATGAAAAGTTGTCAAACGAGCAGCCGGTTCACCTGATGTTAAGTGAATACCGCCGCCCACGGACATCTGCCACACCCGAGGGTTACAGATGCGTTGACAACCTTTTGAAAATTGGGCTCCGGCTACCTCACTCAGCAGACGAAACGCGAAAGTATTTGTCATACTTCCACTTTACGCTGGTCTTCTGTGAGGTCGTGGTACTTACCCGGACGGACCTGCCCATTCGTGCAACAGCCGAGGCTGCTGCGTGGCCCTACCACCGTAATTTAAGTCTCTGGCAATACGTCATATGCGTAATAAAGTTGTCTACACACGACTACTAAAGAATTAGCACTAAAGAGAAGCAACGAATCTATTTATCAATGTGAGTTTATCAATCTCAGTTCTTGGAAACATATAAGGAATCATTGGTCGAAGCATTTGATCTAGAATGATTGAATTGAATGACCTGACATTTGAACATTGAATTTACAAAACAAAAACATTTGACATTGCATTTATTTATATTGTGGGTTCGATTCCCACACAGGAAAAGTATTTTGGAAAGTATTTAAAATAAAGTTGTAATTGTTCCGTATCTGGGTGTATGTTCCCAAGGAGGGTAAAAAATCCTAGCCGAAACCAGTTAGAACATGATTCGCATTTTGTGCCGACCCTACCACACGATTAGGGCCGAAGAATTTTATGATTGAATTTAGAAAAGTCTTCGATGCGACCCGTGGAGCAAAACTCCCGTTTTAAAGTTCCTTTTCATCGTACAACTTGGGAGCAGATATCAAACATTCATCAACCACTTGCGAGGCAATTACAGTCGGCGGTGGCTCGGTGTCGCGCACGCGGCAACTTTAATTTGGGCGCAACGCAACATAAAAGCGCCCGCGATCCCCACAATGCGGAATGGCGAAAGTTTGCTTGTTTATTTCCACTTTGGAGGTGCGAAGGCACGCAAATAGGAGGTGTGGAATACCGTGTGACTTATTGCCGCGGTTCGCTGTAGCCGTGCGCTTGTTACAGCGGCTTGATTTACAAGCAGCGGGCTCTCGTCTTTTAGCCATGTGTTAGCAGAGATACCTACTGCAGTATGGTGTTATTGAGATTATTAACGTGTGGTTCCTATATTCAACGAACGGCCGTTAGTTACATAGCTTCGTAACTTTCATAACGATTTCTAGATAAAAGGCGTGTACGCCAGGTTCCTATATTAAAAATACGAGGCGTTTTCCTTACGAGTCGTTGCCTACTACTTACCTACGAAAAGTGAGTTACTTGCTTTCCTTTAATCTACAAGTCAGCCGACCAATGGCCGTCACTGGGTCAAATATGTGAATAATCGTAACTTACGAAGTTATGTAGCAATTCTTATGTAAAGTTGGACGTTTCATAAAATCACGCAAGCGTCTATTTGAATATAGATATTTTAAGTAGTTACGTAACGGATCGGTGGTAAATGAATACTGCACCCCATTGTCTCTAGAATCCATGATATCAGATCGCGAATGGACAATCTTTTCCGGAATGATTTAAATGAGAGTCTCTGGTAAAACTGTGCCAACGTAAAGCTTTAGCTCCGATTCTCGCAATAATCTATAAAGACCACGGGAGTGGGAATTTAGATCGGGGAGCAAAAGTAATGCTTGGCAATATTAATTAAATCCATTAAACTCTAACTGCTTTAACTAACATTTGTATTATAATCTCGGCGAGTTGTAAAGTTACATGTCGGCGAATTAATTATTCGCTATTTACACGAACACTGTACATTTTTAATGAAAATGTATCGATCAAAATCAAAAACCCTAAACAAAACCGTCGAACATCGCATCACTAAATTAACCGACGCCACAGCCGCTGCAAATCGAAATATGTCTTGAACCAAAACTTTTTTCGTTATAAAATGGATGATTTCTGAACGCATCTGTAATAGTTACAATAAAAATTTCATGGAATAAATTTATCTGTTCAAATCCGACGTATTAATATGTTATCAAAATGTAACAGTTCGACAGTGCTACAATTTGGAATTTTATTGCATTGTATTAAAGATTAATGAAATTATAGATGGAACATGAACTTTCAATAATTTTTTTATCTTTAACGAAGCATCACTACATAGTATAAAACAAAGTCGACCCGCTGTCCGTCGCTATATATGCTTAGAACTTTAAAACTACGCAACGGATCTTGATGCGGATTTTTTACTAGATAGAGTGATTCAAGAGGAAGGTTCTACATATTTTCTACATATTTTAAAGAGGAAGGTTTATAAGTATAATACATTGCGTCCGTGCGAAGCCAGGGCGGGTTGCTAGTTCATGTTATATACGGAAACGATTAACGCAAATACTGTTCAAATAGGAATCGGTTCCGTCGAAAATCGCTTCAGTGCCGAAAAACTTTACTAACTTCACTCGGGACTGGGCGCGACGGTAAGTCAATACCTCATTGTGTCGACTTTATTACAGTTCCATTCGGGTTTTAATTAATTGTCAGGCCCGTTTGATTGAAACACTTCGTAGAACTTGTTAGATACTGTTTGGACAGGCTCGGCGTCTACCTCGCCTGATTGCGGCCGTGTTTTGTATCGGCAACGCTTTTGAAAACTTTGATTGAGCCATTCCTCTATCCGGTTTTGCGCACGCAGCTACGGTCGTCTAGTTATGAAGTCATTCATTCAATGTAATAATGCCGTAATGCTTTGGTTATGCGCAATGAAAATACTCGTGATGGGCGCACAATTGGTGCTTTAATAATAGCTTGTTTGTTTATTTTATTTTCTCGCAGTAAATTCGTAAAATCAGTTTTATTTATCTTTTCTTTTTATTTTGTACTAAATATTTTTGTTACAGAGGTGTCGTAGACAGAATTGAGTAAGTACATTATAACTCTCTCTTTGTAACAATTTATAATTCGTCCTAAAAATTATTTTGTTTTCTTAGAATGTTTAATATGATCAAGAAATAATGTTTATTATAATATTTTCAGTACCTGATTCAGCTGGCCCTCATAGGCTCGCACCGGTAGGGTACCACGCCACCAGCGCCGGAGTTGGACAGCGATATGACTGCACGTCTCAAGAGCCACGTGTGCCGGAGTGACAGCGTTATGACAGGACACGTCTCAAGATCATGAAGTCCTACTGTGCAAGTCTCAAGATCATTAAGTCCGAATGGCGCGGGAGCTCAGGCGAGCGTCGTTTAATATTGAGCCCTATCTGTGTGGGTTCTAAGGTTCCACCGCTCTTTGGTCCTCGGATGTAGGTCCACGGGGGCCTGGGGTGAACTGGCGCGCGGCGGATGCGGCAGCAACAGGCGGTCGAGGAGGCGGAGCCTAGCTGGTGGGTACTGCGCAGAAGCAACCCGTCACCATGGCAACGCCTCCTCAAAATGTTTGTGATCACACCGAACACCTATAGAAAGGTACGGAGAAACTTTCGCGCTCGACGCTACACTCGATAATTGTGTTTGGGCGCCGGGCGGGCTTTATAAAAGTTCCCTATCAAGTTGACAAATGAATTTTAGAGAATGTACGATGAATGATTCAATTTTAAAATTCAATAAATAACAGCAGTCATCTAATGGTTTAAAATCTACGTGTTATTATGTTGGGAAAACTTAATTATGAATGTTAAAATAATTAATTATAAAAGAAAAATTTAGCTGTTCACTAAATAAAATAAATAGGTACCTCGTTTGATTTTCAATACACTTTGTTAATGAACTACGTATACTCTACCAACTTACCACTTTAAGTACTAACTAAACAATTTCGTATATTTGATGAAAATTGTTTGTATTAAAAGAAAATGTTTGATATAATTTATTCATTTATGTGATAGTATGTGAGCCGTGATAGCCTGGGGCACTCGCCTTTAATTCAATATTCTTGAGCAACCTGAGTTCGATCCCCGGTGCCGGCACCAATGAAGTCTTTAACTTTAAGTGATGAATGAAAATGATGATTTACCTATCCAAAAAAACAGTACGGCAGTGTAAACGTAAACCTTATCATCTTATCTATCTATCTCTTCCACTTCATAGAAGCCAGAATGTCCTATGAGAAAGTTGAGAAAAATGATTCTCTAGGGATAAAATGAACATCAGAAGCGACGATGTTATTTTAGTTCATTATTCAGTTCACAAAATGATGACGTTTACAGATTTACTTATCACTCAAGGAATAGCGCTTTATAATACGTAATATCCCTACGTATATTTCTGTCATTCTGACATTTTGTTTTACTTTTATTTATCATGAATTATCAAAGATGGTTAATTTCTTTCATCTTGTTTAACATTAAAAAGCATGATATTTAAATTTTAATTATTATTTAAATTGATAATATCACCCCACTCAAAGCTTATTAATTAATTAATAATATTAATTAATAAATAATTTATATTAATAAATCAAGTTGAGAAATATCAGCCTATACATTCCTCACAGCTGGGCAAAGGCCTCCTCTGTACAGGGTATCAGGGCATAGTCCACCACGCGGCCCCACTGCGGAACCGCAGACTTCACATATCTTCGATATATATATTTTTTTATTATTATTGAGCTGAGCACGTGATAATTCAGCACTTGAAACTAACAATTTCATTGGTGCCGGCACCGGGGATCGAACTCAGGCTGCTCGAGTATTTTGAATTAAAGGCGAGCGCCCGGACACTAAGCTATCACGGCTATCAATCTAGTTGTTTTTTTTTTGATTTTTTTAAAAGTTTATGTGTCCCAGGCTTAACGCCGTGGCTGATGACAAGAGAGCTGGTTCTTTTCTCGCTCAAAGGTTAAGCATAACTATTCAGCGAGGAAATGCAGCTAGCGTTCTTGGCACCATCCCGCTTAGGATTATGGATTAGGTTTATTAGATAATATGTAACTTTAGATAGATTTAATCTTGTAAATATTAGGTTTAGTTTTATCTCTTTGTCCTGTTTATTTGGACTTATCAAGAGATAACATTAAGTTTTATTTCGCTGTTGTCCACGTTCTAAAATCTTAAGTGTCGTGTAATCTGTTTGCAAGGAAGTAGCTTTTATGATACCGTATATGTACTTCAAGGTAAGTATAAGCGTGGAGGATCTTCGCCGCCCTTAAAACTTGCGGAACATAGATTGCAATCAAAACTTGATACATCAAGCCTTTTAACGGTTCATTCAGAAATCCAGTACACGATACTGCGAGCAATATATTGATGCAGTTAAACTAATAAAAGAGTTTATCGCTTAACTTGTATCGTAACTGAACTTAATACTGCAGCTATAGTGCCAGTGTCCTTTGAACTGCTGCCATGGATAAAGTTAAGCCATGCGTAACGTAATTTAAGGGTCGGTCACATTTGCCGACCGGGAAGAAAGATATAATATGGAAAGTAGAAAATAAAATTTAAATTTAAATATATATAAAATAATTTAAAAAGATATAAAAATACTTGCCGACCAGCCACTATATTAACTTCTACCTCTATTTGACATTGTAGCTATATATAGCGGCGAACTAATTATCCATATTTCCACACTAATATTATAGATGCGAAAGTAACTCTGTCTGTCTGTCTCGCTTATACACCAAAACTAATAAACTGATTTAAATGAAATTTGGTACACAGATAGTCTAGAGCCCGAGAATGGACATAGGCTATTTTATAATTGAAAAAACGTGTTGTAAAGGTTTGAAAGATATTTATTTAAGGGCTTCAACGCGAGATTGAAACGACTATTCAATTAGTACAAACTTAATGTTTCGTGCCAACTTCGTAGCTAACACTTTTTTTCAATCGTTCAAGCTTCGGAAGCATTTAAATGTCTACATTAAATCCAGTAACAACCACAGTAACAACATATGTATGCACAAACAAACCCAAAGATTAAACCCGACTGTGACATTGGAAGTCGTAAGACAGCTTAATAGTTCACTAACCCGTTTTTAAGTATAAGTAGTACATGCTGCATGCAACTCGGCTTCTCCACTAATGCGGAACCACGTGAGATTGTGCTAACATGCCACCCATCGGGCGAAGTTCCTTCATGGCCGATAAATTACCAAGTCACTTTTACAGCTCAAGAGAACATACGACAAAACTTTGACGGCGGCAGTATAAGACATAAACGGTGGGCGGATTGAGTAAAGGCGGTTAGCAGAGTGTTGTGATGGTGAGTAATAAAATTATGAGAAAGATAGTCGTCGAGGAACATATTTTTAAAGATTGGCAATGCCACTACAAGCCCGTGAGTAACCATGTTGACTGGGTTCGGTCTCAAAATTATCTGAAATGTAACTATTTTTCAAAGAAGGAATGTACCGTTTATCATAGCTTCTTGCAAATTTTTACTTTTTATAAGTGTTCGTATTTTATAATTTTTCACATCATGGATTCTTGTGTCAATTTATAACTATTAGGGTATGTAGCAAAAATAAAATAGAGTGAGAAGACAAGGAACTGAATTTCAACCAATGGCGTATCTTAAAATATCATTACATGTGTTAGCAATTGCTACAATTTAAGAGTATAGTTAGACTGTAAATCTACGCCGCCAACTTCCACCATCCGACGATAAGACTCTGTGTCTACTAGACAAGATAGATTCAACTGTCTTAGGTGAATCTATATACACAGCGGTCAGGTGAAATAAAACATATCTCGTCAGTCTGCCTTATGTATTGAGATTAAACCAAAATTCGTCGTAATCTCTATACTTGTGACGCAGCCAACTCGGTTGCATTAAATGGATAATCCCTGAGTTCATACTTTCATCTCCTTAATGGATGCAGCGAAAACCATTTATTGCTTTCGAATGCTTTTTTATGCGCACCTCGTCGTAGTGAGATCATAAAGCGCTTACGTGGCAGTGGTGGGGTTTACTGCCTGCATAAAAGCGTTTCACTAAGTAAACGTTCACAAATGAACCTTGATTCGGTTGATATAACAGTTAAAAAAGTAAAGTAACAGCCTATACATGTCCCACTGCTGGGCAAAGGCCTCCTCTATACAGAGGGTATCAGGGCATAGTCCACCACGCGGCCCCACTGCGAATTGGCGGACTTCACATATCTTCGAAATTTTTTTTTTTGTTATTATTTCGAAAATATGCAGGTTTCCTCACGATGTTTTCCTTCACCGCGGAGCACGTGATAATTCAGCACTTAAAGTTAAAAACTTCATTGGTGCCGGCACCGGGGATCGAACTCAGGTTGCTCGAGTATATTGAATTAAAGGCGAGCGCCCGGACACTGAGCTATCACGGCTCTTTATAACAGCCTGATAGAATATCTAGAACCGTATTGCTCATTTAATGCGCTTTGTTTGTATTGTGCATGACGTTGAACAAACCGTCCAAGTGCGCATCAGACTCGCGCACTAAGGGTTCCGTACCATTATCTATAAAAACAGCAAATAAATCATGTCTGTTTTATGGGAGTTTCACTTAAATATTTTTTATTCTTTTTTTAGTATTCGTTGTTATCGCGGCAACAGAAATACATCATCTGTGAAAATTTCAACTGTATAACTATTACGATCCATGAGATACATATTGATGACAGACGAACAGACAGACGAACAGACAGACAGACAGACAGTGGAGTCTTAGTAGTAGGGTCCCGTTTTACCTTTAGTTATCTCCCCGTTTTATTTGTTATTCTTTCGAAAATATATAGATTTCACGATGTTTCCCTTCACCGCAGAGAAGGTGATAAGTCAGCATTGAATATTACTAACTTCATGGGTGCTGGCATCGGGGATCGAATTTAGGTTGCTCGAGAATATTGTATCAATGGCGAGCGCCCGGACACTGAACTACCACGGCTCTTATCGATGTTTGTAATGTGTTCCATTGCTATTATGTAGAAATGCACTCGAATTTGCATGCACAAAAGAGACCACACTAATACCGTCCGGGGCCAACAATTGCACCTGAGAACTTAACGACCCTTCTGTCAGCCCATGGAAATTTGTATCGGACGGCTCAACTGGCTGGAGTGGATAAGTCCGAGCCCGCTCCCCCCTGCTCTAACGCAACGTTCAGCGCAATCCATCTTGCCGGATATTCTCAGGATCTGCGTGTCACAACTAACATTAAGGCGAGTGTACACCGGGCCTTAACTACCTAAGGCTAGTGTTACGTAGGTCGGACGTCTAATGTCCAGACAGGGCTCGGCACTTTGTTCGAATGGAACGGAATTTATGAAAAAGTGTCAACCCTTCCATTAATTCGTAGGAACGCGTCTCTTGTAAACTTCGTCTCTTTGTCGCGAATGTCCGGATTGACCTTGAAAATGATATATATATGGTAACAGACATCGTTGGTCATCTTAGTAATTTGTATGTTGTCGTGTATTTGAGACTAACACCTAAAAATAAAATAAAACATAAAATAAAATGCATTAATTTTATGTTGCTTATTTATTCTGGCGTCAGCTGAAACTGTACCACCGTTTTACTAGTCGCTTGCAAGCCCTCAGTTATAATACCATCTATAAAGATGTTCATGGGCAGCGGTGTTTCCTTAACATAAGATGAACCGTATGCTCGTTTGACATTAAAAAATATTAACTAAGCAGTTCTCAAGGAAAGAAGGGTTTACCCAAAGGGTAAAACGGACCCGATTACTAAGACGCCGCTGTTCGTCTGTCTGTCCGTTACCATTCTGTATTTAATGAACCGTGAGAGTTTGACAGTTGAAATTTTCACATATGATGTATTTCTGTTGCCGCTGTAACAACAGTACTAAAAACAGAATAAAAAACATTTTCATCTATTTTATAAATGTACCTTTGAGTTGAACTGAAATTATCTTATAACGATGTTGGCGTACGTACCTGGAAACAGAGGGAGAATATGATAATTAAGAATAACAATAACATGTAACAAATAACAAAATCCGTCTGAAAAATTAGCACAAATGTTTTAATGTTAATCAAAAATAATACTTTTAATGAGTAATTTCAAATTGTCTGCCTGTGGCTACTTATCATTTTTAAATAAAAAATAAATATTTGTTTCTTCGTTGCATAACACTTCAAACAAATACGGTTCCATCGATACTGCTATTGTAAATTGCTATTAGTTGAATTAAAAGTAGGTTAAAAAAGGTTCTAGTATTATTAAAAGTAGCGTACTAATTTCGTTTTTTAAAAAAGTTTAATTTTATAAAACACTTTATTAACACGTTTTGTAAATAACAGGGTTCAGCTAGAAGTTACGTTAGTGATAACAGTAGCGTAACCTCAACATTGAATTTGCTACGCAATTCACGATAGCCGCTTCATTTTACGGCCCACTATTTTTAATCACGCGCCGGAATGTATACTAATTACTTACAAAGCTTGTTACACCGAACAAACATACACTGGATGCGGAAAGCAGTCATTTATTACGGAGTTATTACCGCCGTCCCCTGGGAGCACGCTCAAGAAAGCTTGCCTACAGACTTTCGCGATGTAAAAAATCTAGATGTGGTTCTTAATAACCATTATTATATTATAATATAATATAATAATATACACGTTACATTTCAAACTTATGGCTGCATAAGCACTGACAAATGACAAAGGTGATGTAGCTTTGTCATCTTTCTTCAAACATTATGAATTCGTTTATGTTTTTATTACATTATTAATGTGAAACGGTTGAAAAGCTTGCTTGTGAAGTAAGCGGTTTAAGTTGGTACACACCAACATACCCTTTTGCCAACTCTTCACACAGAAAAACAAAATACGTTGCCAACTATCAAAAGAGTGTGCCTCGGCTTATTCTGTTTAATTCAAGTAAAGATCTTACAGGTCTACAGAGACAAGCTAAAGTTTATTTTAAAGATAACTTAAGCTTAAGTGAATTTTAAAGCAACTGTTAAAACATGTTAAGAGCTAGTCATAGCGACCAACTCATCGGACATTCCCCATCAGGGATTGAATAAAAGAATTTAATAAAAATGTAACGTTACAACATTTATTCTTTGTTATAAAAAGCTAAATATGAACAACAAAAGCCTACTGAGATGGATATTCCAGTAAACTCTATGTCATTCTAGATTTTAAATTACACTCTCGTGATTGCGAGCAGTTTGCATACTATCCTTATAATTGGTAGAAATAGACACTTGAGATCGGTAAAACGAGCACGGAAAATGCTGATGTACACATGAGAGAAAACAACACGAAATCCTGACGATTTCACACTCTCAAAGTCATGTAATTAAGGGTGAAATTCGAATACAACCTCTCCCCGTTCACTGGGCACGCGTGTTGCTATCCCTTTCAACCGACTGGCAAACGACTAATCTAGTACGGTTTTGCCTCAGTGGGTTATGTTAAAGGGCACTGGGATAGAAAATTACATTTTCGTAGACGAGTTTTGAGTGACGAACGCCATCCGATATGCAATAAACTGACTCGCGTCATACAAAGTGTAATAGATGGGAATGGTATCCGCGGTGATTGCTTTTCGTGTGAGTGCAACATTCAGAAAAAAAATTATGTGAGAAGATGACAAGCGAAGTGGTGGTTCACCTGATGTTAAGTGAGAACCGCCATTGTCATTTGAACTACCCGTATAGTTGTAGATGCGTTGCCACCTTATACCTCACTCACCAGACGCAACGCAGAAGTATAACACATCTTTACGCCGGTCTTCTCTGAGGTTGTGGTACTTAGCCGGACGGACCTGCCCATTCGTTCGACAGCGAAAACAATTACGTGCGTTACCACCGTTACGTTTTTTAGAAGCAACGCAACACATTGCAATCGGAAATCCTAATCACATTATAGTGATCCTACTTATTCCTAGGCTTGATGCGTGCCTGTTTGAGAAAAGGGCAGAAACTGGGGTGGGACGCCGGAACTGAACGGAAGGGACTCTGGTGGGTCCAGCTGTAACTATAAGTCTTTCTAGTTACGAGGAATTAAACACTTATATGATGTATTAAAAAAAAAAAGAGAGCTTAGCTTCCTGTTTCCACTGCCTTGAAGAAAACCGAAGATAGAGTGGTGTGGAAGTGGCTCGTCGCCGATTCACTTAAAAATTTTCAGGACGGACACGACCTTCAGTAATGAAGACCACGAAGAAGAAGAAGAAGAAGAAAAAGAAGAAAAAGAAGTGATTTATACCTGTGTACAATTTCCAATTTTTGATATTCGAAATAATGATTTCCTGCAACCAATTATAATTGTAAAGTATAAAAATTAATAATAGTGGACCTTATTTTTTCATTTAAAAAAAATTCAAAAAAATTCAATTCAAAACAATTCAAATTCTTTAATGTTTATTGATATAGTATTTACAAGATTAAATCTATCTTAAATTATTTGAAAACTAAAATATTAATTTTAAATTATTGTTGGACTTATTTGTTAATAACTTTATGTTTTAATCGACGCCATTATTCAAAAATTGTATAACACAAATCTAGAAAATTCATCAATTTTAATATTCCTAGACTTGTTAAGCCCGAGACAAACATTGTAATGGATGCAATTAAAACATTTAAGCGTCTGTTAAACTTTTAGAGAGATAGTTAAAGTATTTACATATTCAAATAGGTCTGCAAATTAACGCTTTAACAATAAATTTAGTTTTGTAGTTGAAGAAGTTGCTGCTCTAAATTCTAGGGTCTTAAGAATATAATGAAACTTAATTTATTTGTTCTTAAAATTTTAAACAGAGATTTCTTAAAATGCCTTCTGCCCGAAGATTACAATCCAGTGATGTTTTATGTTTGATTATATAGTTTTGCACAAACAAACTATTACTGAAAACTAATGTCATTGCAAAATAGTATGCTAAGGGTAAAATGAGACCCTATTGCTAAGACTCCGCTGTCTGTTCGTTTGTCACCAAGCTGTATCTCATGAACCATGAAAATTAGACAATTAAAATTTTCACAATGATGTATTTCTGTTGCTGTTATAACAGCAAATACTATAAAATGGAATAAAAAAATATTGTTGTGGGACTCCCATACAACAGACTGAAACCTTCATGCGCGAGTCCTACTCGCACTTGGCCGGTTTTTACTTTTCATATACCTTTTGGCTTGTCTGTTGAGCCAATGTGACAAATATATAAAGATTTAAGAAGATGATGTACAAATACAAAATACAAAATACAAAAATGTTTATTTCATTAACATATTTCTTTTACAGTTAATAAATATTTGGAGCTACCTTTTAAGCAACAGTTTTGCTTGTGTTAGGCAGCACCGCTCTTCCATAGCATACTTATAATAAACACTAAATTCAGTACAAATCTTTAAAACTACTTTCAAAAATAAAATAAAATAAAAACATTTTCTCTCCGTGTGTGTGTATGTTAGTGTGTGTGTTAGTGTGTGTGTTAGTGTATGTGTTGGTGTGTGTGTTAGTGTGTGTTTGTGTTAACTCAACATCAACTCAATTTCAGCGTAATTTTTAGCTTTTAGCCATTCCATAACTGCAATTTTGCATTTTGTTTATGTCATTTCATAAATATTTAGTTCTTTATTAATTTTATTGTATCAGAATAGCTCTTGTGACATATTGCTTCTTAGCAAAAACTGAATTTACTCGTGTATGTTGCACCACGTTATATTTCCTTCTAGAGTTATTATCTACATGTTGGTAAGGAAGCGATTTGTGTGTGACAAAACAAGTTGCTTTCCAAGTCATATAAAGTAAATGAAGGCCATTTTCAACGACCAACACCTTTCATATTGTGTTAATTTATTAAACAATGAATAAATAAAAACTCCTGAAAGTGGGTAGGTAGGTAACTAAATCTAAATACACAGTTTAAACTATTTTAATTCAATTATAAGACATTCAATTTATCTCCCGATAATATAATAAATCGTGCGAGTGACTTCGATTACGTTTTCATGAATCGTTTTTGACGGAATTCAAGTTCTTGTCAGAATGAAATGTCATAAGTATTTCTACTTTTTCATTTTATACACTCTGATATAGGATCTTGCCAATTAGACCAAATAAAAACAGAAATCAATTGAAAATGTGAATTTCGTGTAGATAAAGTGTCGAAAAATTTTTGGGGCTGCGGGAATATTTGATATAGGTATCTGCACGGTGTAAAGTATGCACGCTAGATAGCGCTGAGTAATGCTAACAATG